GCTCGCCCCAGCTCCCGGCGCCCCGCTTCGGCTTTCGGGCCCGCGGCGCCCGGCCCTGACCCCCGGGTGTCCCTGCGTCCTGACCCTGCGCCCTTCATCCTCAGAAGCGGTGCTGGCCGCGCTGGGCCCCGGGTCTGCGAGCCCCGCCGCTCAGCTTGTCGAGGGATGCGGAGTAAAGATTGGGGGCTGGACATTTTAAGAAAGATTTTAAAATTCTGAAATCGGAATTGCCAGAGAACCCGAGCGAGCCTGTCCGGAAAACTGGAGGCCCTGGGTTGATCTGCCCAGGAGGCTGCGGCGGGCTCCCGGCCCGAGCCTCGCGGGCAGCCGCCTCTCCCCTGCGGCCGGCGCCTTTGTCTGGAGGGTTTTCGTGGCGAGTTGCACGGAGGGCCGCGGAGCCAGCCCAGCAAGGCACTGGGGTGTACCACAATCCTGGTGTCAGAATCCTGGCAGATGCCGATTCTGCCTGCCTGGGTTGTTGGTTTTAATGGCGTTTGCCTGGAATGCACCACCTTTGGTGGGGGTTGACCTTAGGTGTGTCGCCTAAGGGGTTTGCTAGCCACTTGTGGAAAAGGCTCCCTGTGCTTACTAGGTGCTGTGAAATACGGGTTTACACAATGTTACTGTGTCTCCCAAAGGAACGTTATTAAAGTATGTTTTTGGTTGCATGTCAGCCTTGGATATTTGAAAGCAAGCAAGAGAGTATCTAGAATCTAATTAAGCAGATTTCAGTTATTTGAGGCTTAAGCCTACACTCTCCTCCTGTACCTCCTGCATGTATATTGATTATTATTACCCAACAATGTTACACTTTCATGAATAACATTATAAGAACATTATAAGACACAATTTCCAAATGCGTTAATGTAAGCTAGGGATGGTGGTGGATCATGCGTGTAATCCTAGCAGTCTGGGAGGCCGAGGCAAGGGGGATTGCCCTTCCCCCTTAATGCCCTCCCTGCACTAACCACAAGCTATTTCAGTAGAGATTTGTCCCCAAAATTTATTTTTAGCCACAAAATTCCTTAAAAATAAACCAACCCCTTACATGGCTCTTTACAGTTTGAGTAATTGGTATAATGATGAGACAAATCAAAAGTTAATCAACAGTTCTGCAGCAGGACTCCATTTCAGGTGTTGTAGACCAAGTGCCCAGCTTCTGAGGAAGAAACCACTGCATTCTGATAGGTTTTTTTTTTTTACATGTAATGTAGCTTTTAGTGTTTTATAAAGATCTGCATATAATTGTTTCCACATATTCTGTGAAATTATAGTCAGTATTAACACAGTTTTGTAAACATACGAGACAAAACGAATGAAGTGCTCACACAGTGAACTATATACCATGAGGATTCAAATCAGCACTTTTCTGTTGCCACAATTGGCCTGGTGGACTTGTGAAGGAATTCCCTTTGGACTAGGTCCATGGTAGATAATATTCAGGACTGATGTTAGTGCCTAAATTGCATTGTTTCCCATTGGAATATATGCTCCCCGCAAGATTGGCCTATTGCCACTGCCAAATCGCTATCAGTGGAAGAATCTTCAGCAAGGATATTGTTAGTGTGCTTGAATTCATTTTCTGTGTATGTTTTAGTATTGTCGCTTGCCATTCCAAATGAGACCTGCTTTTAGTGTATCATTTTCCCCCGCGATCTATTATTTATTACCTGAGCGCATGAGGAAGGCGGTGTTGTGATACACACGTTGGTAAACGTCTTGGTGAGACCATACTTTGTATTTTTACCGTGTGTAATTACATTTGAGATCAAGCAAAGCTTAGTTTTGTTATTGATTTTCCTCGGTGAAGATGGATTTGTTACCTGGGGATTGCAGTTGATGACGTTTTGATATTAATATGTTTGCTGCTGCTACCAAGAGCTTTGTCAAGCAAGTTGGAGATGGAGGGAGATTAGTTCCTGTTCCAAGCCTCAGTGAAGCTGACAAATACCAACCTCTAAGTCTGGTGGTAAAAAAGAAGCGATGCTTTCTGTTTCCTAGATATAAATTTACCTCAACGCCCTTTACACTGAAAGATATTCTCCTCGGAGATAGAGAAATTTCAGCTGGTAAGTTTAAATGTTTGGAAATGACTATTCATGGAGCTGTGCTATTAGTCACCTAAAAATAGGTCTTATATACTAATTACATCAGTAATACACGTTTGCATTGATAAAGGCAACTTTTATTATGATAGTAGTAATGTTATGATTAATAATTCCTTAGGGGCTGGTGATATAGCTCAGTGGCATAAGTGCCTGCCTGGCAAGCGCAAAGTCGTGAGTTTGATCCCTGGTACTGCAAAAAAAAAAAAAAAAAAACCTTAAAGTTTGTATGCTATCAAATATCTTATTGGTTGATCTACCAGTTATAAGTTGTTTTAACCAAATCAATTTGGAAAATGACAAATTAATACATTTTCATGTGTAAAATAGGATATTATTTGATCTTCCCTATTTTACACAGTCAAATGAGATAAAACTGTATAATTTACAATTCATTTATTATACTGGTAAGCTAGATCATAAAATAAATCAACATTTTAACACATTAGTGCTTATGAACACTTGTTTTTTTCTTTCAACCATCAGTGGCTCTTGATGCTTAAGATATTCCCTTGGCTGAACAAAGAATTTGAGTATTATAAAATTGAATTCAGTTTTCTCTGTGTGTGTGGTATTGGAAATGGAACCCAGGGGTGCCCTAACACCTGGCTACATCCCCAGCCCTTTTTATTTTTTATTTTAAAACAGTCTCCCAAGTTGCTCAGGCTAGGCCTGGACTTACAATCCTTCTGCCTCAACTGCCCAAGTAGTTGGGATTACAGTATTTAGCTGAATTGCTATTTTTAATCATAGTTTGAAATGTTGATTTTTCTCATTAACATTTGGGTTACTGAGTCTTCAATTGCAAATTAATGTTACTATATATAACCTATATAAGACAAATTTGAGACATTTAAAAAACACTAAGTTCCTTCTTGTAAAGGCATTTCATCTTATCAGTTATTGAATTATGAAGATGAATCAGATGTTTCACTCTATGGACGTCGAGGCAACCATATTGTAAATGACGTTGGGATTAATGTTACTGGATCAGATTCCATTGCAGTAAAAGCTTCATTTGGTGTAGTTACTAAACATGAAGTGGAAGTATCAACATTACTAAAGGAAATTACTACACGGTCGGTATAAGAATCCTTATCTACTTCAGTGTTTTCATTAACTGTTTTAATTATATAAACTTCACTGCAAAGAGTGCTTACAGTATTCAGATAATATTATACAAATGTAATTTATTTGTTTGAAATACTACAAATTAGTATCGCCAAACCTTAGATATGGATACACATACAAAATTAATTTATGTTAAAGAAAAATTTTAGTTCCATAAAATCAGTCTAATTCTGCACATATTTAGTAAATTATTAAATTGAAATAATGCAGGACCTGACAGCAAATGTAGTACAAGAATCCCCCACTACAGATTCTCAACAAACAAAATAAAACGTTCTATGTAAGCATGTTTAGGAAAAGAGGAGAGGCAGATTATCCAAAAATTGGGGGGTATATTTTCTGATTTATAATAAGTCTGCCTTGCTTACTTTTAGTAAAGATGACCCGTGAATGAATAACAGGTGATATGTGTAATGATAGTACAGAGTGTTGTGAATGTGTCTTTCTTATTTTAGAAAGATTAACTTTGACCACAGCTTGATACGTCAGTCAAGGAGCAGCAGGAAGGCAGTGTTGTGCGTGGTCATGGAAAGTATTAGAACCACACGACAGTGCTCGCTGTCCGTCCACGCGGGAATCCGAGGGGAAGCAATGCGGGTAAAGCACACTCATGACAAAGTTTCCATGGGCATTTTTTAAAAGTACTCTTTATCATGAGACTTACATTTTGCCAAATGTTGAGATGAAAGAGCTGCAGTATTTTGTACAGGAATGATGTGTTTCAGAGTATGGAAAAACATGGATTCTAAACAAGTGCAATGTAACTCAAACAAAACACCAATCCTTGTGAAATAATATGCATACTGGAGCTCCCTTCTGTTAGTATTTAAGAGATATTTTAAGAATAAAAAGTAGGAGCATTGGTTGCATTCTTTGATATTATTTTGAATACAGTTCATACTTTGAATTTTTAAAAGCTAAATTTATATTTTACATTGAAATTTTTTCTAAATTAATAGCAATGAACAAACATGCTTTGTTCAGTGTTAAATTCTTTCTAGACAATTAGAAAATAATTTGTTTAATTTTAAATTCAATCATGAATGTCTTAACAGGACAAAACCCAATTCTTACATAGGGCTAAATGATAATCTTTTGGAGTCTGTGCAAATGAAAGTTCTTAGTACCTATATTTAGCTGTCTATATTTACTAGATTCTTATTCTCATTAGATTATTTGGGGGGTACAAACTGAAGCATTTACTTAATTGTTGCTGATTGCTTTGGAAAACTGGAAGCTGGGTGGGGGTGTTGGAATGGTAAATAGGCTAGACTGCAAGCTTGAATGTAGCACTTAAAACATAGTCAGTTTCTAAGATTTGCAGTTGAAATCAACAGGCTTCTACTGCAGCCAGCATTACTGTGCTGATGGCACTAGTCATTGACTTCAATATCAACGGAAGTGAAAAAAGTGGAGAGGTCTTCCCCAGTACAGATCACGAGTCCACATTGGACCACTTGGATCTCTGCTATAAACAGTTTCGCTCAAGTAGGGTAATTCTTTACTTGAAGGGATTTTGTTGTTGTTTTGATGTTTTGTTTCTCCAAAAAGCTATCCTGACATGTTAGGCTCTTTACTAATTTTATTTATTTATTTTAGTTTCATTTTATGGATGAACAGAATCCCAAGGGAAGGGACAAAGCTATTGTTTTTCCAGCACATACAACCATAGCTTTCAGTGTTTTTGAACTCTTCATTTACCTGGATGGTGCCTTTGGTGAGTGGATGATCTGCTTGAAAGACAAATGATTATATTTTAAAGGAGAATTTAATAGGAAGTCCTGTCTAGTAATCATAGAAAAGTGATGCTTTCAGCACTGCCAGTCTTAGGTTTGGGAAAAGCCTTCCCTGGACTGCTTATCCAGTGCCTCTTTTCTGCTGCTTGGGAAAGGCTGTAGACTCTCCATGACCCCACTTATAATAATATATAGGAGCTAAAATTTAATCTACTAACAACATATTCCTTGGCTTGCAGAGGGAGATAACCAATGCCTTTCTGATAGTTTTGGAGAGGCCAATAGGAGTAGGTAGATAGTAAGATTCCTGAAGGGTCGTGTTGCCCTAATCAGGGCACCCAAAGACAGCTTTACTTACTTCACTTTTATCTAATAAACACAACTCTTCTCAACGCTCCCTAAAAAGCAACTTTAGAAGTACAAATACTTCCTCCAAGATTGTCATCTGGTGTAATACCTTCATACAATTCACTTTAACTTTCTACATTGTCATCTTGTGTAATACCTTTGTGCAACTCTAGTTTTCTTTTAAGGTTAGTTGACTGGCAACTGGCCCAAGGCAAGGGAGCCCCTGGCTATGTTAATTTATAGACATTTTTTATACCTATTTCTGTCCATTTCTAAAATTCTGTGGAAGGAAGGAATAGCACGTTGAGAAACAAAACTGTTCTAAGTAAATTCTATTTGGAATTCTTTGGGTACAGGTTTTTAGAGTTACATTGATTTCTGGGAGGGGTATAAACTCATATCCACCAAAATCTAAAATATACATGTACTTTGGCCTACGCACCCAGGAATTCATCCTACAGGACAGCTTACACCTAGGTGAATTGATATGCCTATAAAGATATTTAGGTCCTGATAGCAAAACCCTGGAAGCCATCTTAAGTGGACTTGTATAATGCTACAACAGAATACAATGAAGCCATTAAGTATGAGGTTAGCTCTATAGATCTTAGCTAATATGTAGAATGTAAGTATTGGGGCTAAAGAATTTTATGCATATGTATACATATGTATTCCTTTATGCTTGCAAAATATATGGAATATTTCAGGAAGCATACCTCAGATACATATCAGTACCTCTGGGGTGGAAGATTGGCTGGGTGCTGGGTGGGCTACAGACTTGTCACTGTAGCTCCCTTTTGAACTCTGAATTTTGTGTCATGTGAATGTGTCTTTTCAAAAACTGTGTAAAATTTAGCTTTAAAAAATACAATGAATGGCCCATACAATAATTCATTGCCTCTATAAAATACTCAGTAAAGTAGGAGTTATTCAAATTATAACATCTTTTTGAAATTGTTTTGTAGACCTTTGTGTCACTTCAGTGTCAAAAGGAGGATTTGAAAGGGAAGAAACGGCAACATTTGCACTACTCTACAGACTGAGAAATATACTATTTGAAAGAAGTATGCCCTTTGAAGAGTATTTTGAATGAATTCTTTTCTTCCTGGATTAATATGTGAGGTCATTTGTTCAGTTCCCATCTGTTAAGGGAAAATTTAAATTTAACAACCAAGTCATTTCTTTTTTTTTTTTTTTTGGTACCGGGAATTGAACTCAGGACCTTGCACTTGCCAGGCAGGCGCTTGTGCCACTGAGCTATATCCCCGGCCCAACAACCAAGTCATTTCATGACTGATTGATTTATCTATGTACATCCATGTCCATGTCCATGTCTACATCTATTTCTATATCTACATGTATCTATGCCTGTATCTGTATCTGTAATGCCGTTTTGGTTGTATGTTTTTATTTTGACTTCTAATACATTTCTCTTTTTGTTCTTTTAGATAGAAGAGTGATGGATGCCATTTCTCGCTCACAGTTTTACTTGGATGATCTTTTTTCTGACTACTATGACAAACCTCTCAGCATGACTGATATTTCGCTTAAGGAAGGGACTCACATCCGAGTTAACTTACTCAATCACAACATTCCCAAAGGGCCTTGCATACTCTGTGGAATGGGGAACTTAAAAAGGGAGACAGTCTATGGCTGCTTTCAGTGTTCTGTGGATGGACAGAAGTATGTTAGACTTCATGCAGTCCCTTGTTTTGATATTTGGCACAAGAGGATGAAATAAAAAGAAAAATGGAATATACTTTGTTGGTGTTTTAAGTGCAGTTGTGCCGTAAACCTTCCCTAAATTGCCTAGGTTTGCTTTGATGAGTAAGGAAGAGAGAACAAACAGAAAGCCCGTAGGTATCATTTTTCCCAAGTACAGATGATAGCATTACTGTCTACCTCATAAATTACCAATAATAATAATAACATTGTTTATAACAGAGTTTAAATATAAAATTCAAAATATAGACAATCTTTCAAAAGTTAGTCACTTTATAATCACTTGGGATTTAGTCTGTCATTTTAGATAATAAACATATAATTAAAAGATTTTCTAAATATATCAATTTTATTGTATTTTTGTGGTACTGGGAATTGAATCCAGGACCTTGTGCATGTTAGGCAATTGGTCTCCCATGGAGCTACAACCCCAGCTCTTTTAAAATTTGGAGATAGTTTTCTAAATTGCCAAGGCTGGCCTTGAATTTGAGATTTTTCCTGACTCAGCCTCCTGAGTAGCTGGGATTACAGGTATGTGCTACCAAATTTGGCTTATCAATTTTAATCTTATTCAGATTCTAATTTAACATTTAAAGATGACAAAAGTATATAAATGACTATTTTATGGTCCTTTAGTGCCCTAGCCTTGGTAAAAGGAGAAAAATTTATTAATATTTAATATAATCCTAAATGTTTAATTGCAGTATCAAATTAAAAACAGAGCTCAGCATGGAGTACTAGGTACATAATTCACAGGGTGACTGATACTAATAATGGGTTGTTCTTTTGTGATGTGATGAATATATGCTCACAATTTTGTCTTCATAAAACTCGCTACTGTCATTTAAAAGTTAAGGGAGATAGGATGTGTCTACCTCTTTGCAAATGAAAGTTTGTAATGATCACTCACCATTAATGATAAGAATGTTATGCTATGAAGTGCTGTAAACAAAGTGATATCTAGAGAAAGAGAACTGGAAGCCAAAACTTCCCTGGCATCAGTTTAAAACTATGAAGACAAACAGTCCAGGGTGGTAGATATTTAATGAAGGCCTATGAGAAGGTAGAGAGATAGCACATTTATAATTTCTGAAGAAGTATAGCACTAATTCCTGCTATAAAGTATAAAAAAAGTCTTTCATCTGGTCAAATATATTTAAACATTTCCGTTTAGAACAAATACACAAGGACAGAAGCTTGCACTAAAAAAGTATAAACCATGTTGAGATTCCTTGTGGGACAGAGATAAACAATCTTCTTTCATGTGTACCAAAGGTAGATTCTTTAGTCCTAATTTTTATACCCTATTCTCCACAATGTTATGAAACACATAATTGAATTAAATGTTATTTCCTGGGCCCCTACTGAATATTTTAAAAATATGGGACTTTTTAACATTTAAAATATTGGTTCTACATAGTTATATATGTGGTTAAAGTTGGGAAGAGTTTGCAGATGTTGACATATTCTGTTATATCCCAAAGGGAGATTATTGTCCACTGGGACACAGATCCACTTCATAGTGCTACAGTTAGTGTTCACAGAATAAAGCAACAGGAAATACAATCATATTTTTCTTGAGAGTTAAATTTGCCTCATATTTATTATACCAAAACTATCATGTATTGTGGGGGGACAAAGTATCTTGTCATGGGGGAAAAGTAGAAAACACAAGATGGAAAAAAGTAAATTGTTTTATATGTAAAGTACAATACATAGTTAAAAATATGCTATAATTCATCATGTTGGTACACATTATATTCCTTGGGAGAAATGAAGCCATTGCCATCATGGTCATTCTTTTTAAAAAAGTCTTCTAAAACTGCATTCTGATATGACTTGTCCCGTGGCTTCTCATCTTTTTCAAATTCTCTTTGCAAGTAATAGCTTACCTAGAGGGCCCAAATGACATTTACTTAATAAAAGGTATCGTATCACAAGTTTCCAGGAAATTTAAAGACTGTTTACCATAATGAAACTCATATCCAAGACTGCTTACATTAAATGATACAAACATTCTGAAAAGCTATTTGAGGTTTTAATTTTATAACCTTTGAAGCAACTTCTGAAGAGAAACAGGCATTTGAATTAGCTTCTGCTAAGGTTCTAGACGGTTAGTGGTAGATACACAAACTAAATGCTTTTCAATAATCAACACTGTTCACATTACCAAAGGAAATTCATTCTTAAGAATTTCCACTAATGGATAAAATTTACATTAGCATTTCTGTACTTTCTAATGATTATATAATCAAAAAATCCAAACGTGTTTAGAAATTAATTTTCCCATGCTTCCATATCTCATCCCCTTAATCAACCTAGGATAATGTATTAATAATGTCAAAGAACAGGCATTGTTATGTATTTTATTTCTTCGTATAACATGATGAAATTTTCCTATGGAAACACACAATAAAACATTGTGGAAATGGTAGCCACTAGCTACATGTGACTTCTAAGCACTTAAAATGTGGCTATATTAAATTGTGTTATGGCTTATTCTTAAATGTCCCTCAAAAGCTTCATGCACTCATAGATGGAGCTTTTGGGAATGACTGGATCGTGTGGGTGATACTGAATTTGTTCATGGATTGGTTTAGCATAGTTTTGGGTGTGGGTGATAGAATTACTCAAGAGGGAAGACCCACTTTGGTTATGGATGGCATGAACCAATAGGCTTGTACTGGATGGAATAAAAAGGGAAAGAAGAACCAAATTTCGCTGCTACCTGCCTGCCATGTTGTGAACTGTTTCTCCTCTGTGATGCCCCTCTGCCGTGCCACCCTGCTTGGAGGCAGCTGACTATGGACTGAAACCTCTACAAACTGTGAGCTAAATAAACCTTTCCTCCTCCAACTTGGGGTGGTAGGGTTTTCTTCCCCAGCAATGAGAAAGTAACTAAGACAAATTGAGACGTTATTGTAAATGTGAAATACACGAAAGATTCTGAAGACAATAATGAAAAGTATATCTCAGTGATGATTTTTATATAGATTTCATGTTGAAATGGCATTATTTTAGATATTCTGAGTTAAGCTAAATTAAAATTTCATTTGTATCTTTTTATTTTTAATTAATTATTTGTGGTACTGGGGACTGTGGTACTGGGAGTAGCTGGAACTACAGGTCTGTGCTACTGCACCTTCCTCTTTACTTTTTATTTCTTATTTTTGCAGTTACTGGGGATTGAATCCAAGGCCTTGCACATGCTCAGCAAGCACTTTATTCCTGAGCTACATCCCAATCCCTTTTATTTTAAATTTAAGTTACTTTAAATTTTGAGACTAGGTCTAACTAAATTGTACAGATTGGCCTTCAACTTGCCATTTTCTTGTGTCAGCTGCCCTTGTAGCTGGTATCATAAGTGTATGCCATACGTCTGGCTTTATTTTATGTTTTAAAATGTGCCTATTAAAAGATTTTATATTATGTATATGGCTCAATTACATTTCTGTTGGAAAGTGCTAATCTAGAAAATAACTACAAAAGCAAGGCATAATGATCGAGATAATATTCTCCAAGGCTGGAGCATTCTAGAGTCAAAACCATTTTTGAAAGCTGGACTTAAACCTGTAAGTGTTTTAGTAATACATAGTCCCAACTCCACTCATTAGGACAACTGATCAACCATACTGTAGGATATAACTGTTCTCAAATGTAATTTCATCCTTTATGTTTGTATTTTTTTCCCCAGTTGAAACTTAGCAGTCCTATGTAAACATAAAGAATTTAAGTAGCCTCAAATATTCCGCAGTTTTTAATAAGTAAAATTTATCTTTATGTGTGCATGTGCATGTGTGTGTGTGTGTGTGTGTATGTGTGGCACTGAGGCTTAGACCCAGAGCCTTTGCACTGAGCTACATCCCCAGTCCTTCTAAATTTTTATTTTTGTTTTTTAAATTTTGACACAGGGTCTTGCTAAGTCGCATAGGATGGCCCTAAAGTTCCATCATCCTGCCTGAGCCTCCTGAGGGTATAGGTGTGTACCGCCATGCCTGGTTATCAATTTAGCTTCAAATTTGAGCTGATGCTCAAAATCTTTTTCTTTTCTCGTACACGGCAATACATGGGTATAAAAAGATAATAATGGGTAAGAACATACATTAATTTTGCTAGTAATGAGTTCCACACGATTTCTACTTTGTAATTTAGTAAAATATGATACCTGTTTTCCACCCTTTTATAGGAAAGAAATAACTTAGTAAATTTTCCTAAAGATTAAAGGGAATTTCTGTTAGTTCATGTTTTTGAATTCAGGCTTTCTGTGTACTGGCTGTGTGATCTTAAGACAAATAAGTTACTCTTTGTGTGGTCTTCGACAAATAATTTAAACTTTCTGAAACTCAGATATGTCATCTGTAAAAAGAAGGGAATAGCTATATAGTTGGATTGCTGTGAGGATTAGCTACTGTTATTTAGGTTTATGAGTATCGCTCTTACCTGTCTGGTGATAATGCAGCTGATATCCAATAGATTCTGGGAGAAAAAATTGTAGCTATGTACTTCACTGGTTTGCATTTTTTTTTACTTTTGCTTTCTACAAAAGAACTAAACATCTCCTAATGCCTGGGAGAATTCACACTGCAGAATGCACCTCTGGGTGTGCCTGTGATAATGAATGGGCTATGTGCACAGGCTGAGCTCTTTGTGCTATGTGAATCCACCTGTAGCTGCTCTTCATGCTATGGAGGGGGATAAACAGCTGACAAAGAAGTGCACATTTGGAACAGTTCCCCTCTCACTGCCCTTCTTCCCAAGGCACAGGGGAGACTTCCTTCCTGCTCTTCCACTGTTGACCAACAAGGGTGTCTCAGGGGAAAGGTTCTACTAAGTCCCAAGGAGGAAGTGTAATTGGGCAGGAAGAGGTTTGGAGAGGGAGACAAAAAACAAAGGACTTACTGTTAACACTTGAGGTCAGAGACCCTGCTGCCTTTTAGTACATACTTAGATGGTAGTGTTATGTATCTTGAACTGTCTCCAAGCAAGAAGGGAGATCACTGGGCCACTCATTTTAAGCAAGAGTAAAGACTGCGAAAC